CTGCATTTTGCCAGAACACTGACGTTCTAATGTATGAAATCAGGGCTTCTTGTGCAAGAACTCTGATGCTCCCGCTCAGGAATAAGCCCTCTTGCACAACTGTTCTTGCACAAGAGGCCAGTGTAGACAGGCAACATGAATTTCTTGCGCAAGAAAGCTCTATGGTTAAAATGGCCATCGGAGCTTTCTTGTGCAAGAGAGAGTCTACACTGGCACGGATGCTCTTGTGCAAAGGCACATGCCAGTGTAAACACTCTCTTCTGGAAGAGTTTTTGCACAAGAACTCTTCCGCAAAAGAGTTCTTGAGCAAAGTCATGCCAGTGTAGACGTAGCCTAGCTACGGTCTAAGAACTTGATGGATAATCTGTGCCAGCTCTGTTGTTATCCCAACAGATGCCTGGGTGCCTGAAGTGTCCACAAATTAGCTCTGCTATATAGTGGAGAGGAAAAGTCAAATGTTGTCTAGGGGCCCTCAGCAGGGCTCATACCAGCATCTGCCCTCCCCCCTCTTACCTCACTGTGCTTTAGCACCCAGCTCCCTGCCTAATGAGTGCCATTGAGCTGAGGGAGGGTCCCTCGGTCAGGAATCGCCAAATGCAGTTCTGCTGCCCTCGGTTCACACAAAGATAACAAACCTTTAGTACTCCTGCCCCAGGAGCAAGGAGACTGGGGATCCCAAAACAGCCAGAAGAGACTGTTTGGGCAAGCAATCCCATCATGCTCTGAGGCGTGGTGGGCGTGCCTATGCAAACATGATCAGCTTGTGCAGTTCTCTTCCACAGCTCACTGCTAGATGTCAGGCAATCCCATCATGCTCTGAGGCATGGTGGGCGTGCCTATGCAAATATGATCAGCTCCTGCAGTCCTCTTCCACAGCTCACTGCTAGATGTCAGTGGAGAGCGCATTCAAACTCTGCTCACCTCTTTAACACTCTTCACCAAGAGAGCTCAGGGCACCTCACCGGCTTCATCCTGACACCCCACTGGGAATCAGGGCTGAGCTATCATCCCCATTGCACAGATGAGGAACTGAGGCCTGTGGCTAAGTGACTTGCCCAATGCCACACAAGAAGTCTGTGGCAGAATAAAGAGTTGGCTCTTCACTGACTTAAGCTAAGGTCCTGGTCAATGGCCCTTCTGGTCATTGGGTAGGGGCAAGCCTGAAACCTGATGCAAGTCCCTGCTCAGTCACAGACTCCCACTGTAACCATGGCCAAGTCACTTGTCTTCTCTGCCTCCGTCCCCCATGTGTAAAGACTCTGAGGTGCTTTGCTACTCCAGGGTAGCAAAGGGCTGGGCCAGGTGGGTTTGTTTCTCCCTCGGGAACTCGGTCTGTCTCTTCCTGCTCAGGTGAACGACGCCATCGGGAACGAGTGGCCCTGGATTTATTTCGTCAGCCTCATCCTGCTGGGATCTTTCTTCGTGCTCAACTTGGTGCTGGGCGTGCTCAGTGGGTAAGGCGCGTGGACTGCCCCCCGCCTGTCTCTCCAGCCCTGCAGGGGCCTGCCATGCAGGAGACGGTGAAAACGCGGGGCCAGGCCCCACTGAGTTTGGTGATGTGAACACAAGGCCTGAATCTGGGTTTTACTTTTTTTTCTTCCCTTCTTCCTTGGTATCAGGAGCCTCAATTTTGTCTTCCCTTGTCTATCGGAAGACTCTGTGGTTGACTCGGGAGAGGTGCTCTCGGCCCGGGGGTGAAGGGACAGGACAGTCGGATTGTTTATATAGGCAGTGTTCCTCCCCAGAGTCACCAGAACCAGACAATGGGCGCATGGGCATTATTCCTGTCTACTGTGGCAGCACCTCACCGCCCCGTCCGGCCCTGGGCCCGATGGTGTTAGATGCTGTGCAAACACGGAACCAAAAGACAGCCCCTGCTCCCTCCCCTCCCCAGGGCCTGTGCCACTAATGGGGATGTGCCCCATCCTCTAACCCCCGTCTCTGCCCGGAGCCCCCTCCTGCTCTGAGCCACCGCCTACACCTTAACCTCTGCCCGGACCCTGCACCCCCAGCCCACCTCCTGCCCTGAGCCCCCTCCTGCACCCCCAACCTCTCAGCCCCAGCCTGGAGCCCTGTTATCCACAGCGCTGCCCCAGAGCCAGCACCCCCTGTCAGAGCCTCATGCCCCATTCTGCACCTAAGCCCCTGCCTCAACCCACAGCCCCATCCCACACTTTGAGCCCCTTATTTTTGGCCTCATCCCAGAGGCTAGGGGGCCCCAGAAAATGTAATACCCTCCAGTCATCCATAGAGTTTTCTGGCTCAGACAAGAAATTAATTTGGTCCTGCCATGAGGGCAGGGACTGGACTCGATGACCTCTCGAGGTCCCTTCCAGTCCTAGTATTCTATGATTCTAAAACGAGCAGGTAAAAAACCACAGACAGACAAACTCTCCTCCCTCCCACAACACACCAACCATCCCTCCGAATGGAGCCCAAAGAGGCCAAAGCTGTTTCCCCCCAATGAGTCACCGTTGCTACGGCGCGTGGCGGGGAGTGCACACAGCTGGCAGTCCCGGTGTGAGCTCCCCCTTATGCTCTGACGCGCTGTCTGACTTCCTCAGGAGCAGCCATGGGGGCAGCCAGCAGGGCTCCTAATGTTAACCTGCCCTCTGCACAGTCCAGCGGCCGCGCTTGGCTCTGTGGTCTCCTGCAGCAAGAAGTTCCACAGGATGCCAATAAAAAGTGAGGACTAGGGAACTGTTTCCAGTCGTTGGCTTTGTATTCCTCCTCATACCACCACCACTCGTGGTGCGGTATTGCGCAACAGACGGAAAAGGCAGGACTGATCCTTTCTCAGTCTTCAGCTGAGTGAAAGGAGTAACTCCATTAGCTGGCAGCAATAGTAGGCTCTTATCCTTCCTGGGAACTAGCCACTAGACTGGGACATGGCACACACACAAGGGGCACATCCCATGAGTCAGGTCTGGATTGAAGTCCCCCCACGTGGTCCCTTCTCTGTTTGCCTCATGCTAGCCCGGTGGCTTTCTTCCAGGGAATTCACCAAGGAGCGCGAGAAGGCCAAGTCGCGGGGCACATTCCAGAAGCTGCGGGAGAAGCAGCAGCTGGAGGAGGATCTGAAGGGCTACATGGACTGGATCATTCACGCCGAAGTCATGGACAGCCACCGGGCCAGAGAAGGTACCATCCCCACCCCGGCAAAGCCGGGCCTGGCTTCCCTGTTGCTTCTGGAGAATGGTTATCCTCCACTGGGCGGGGATCGGGGGAGTGTCCGTGCAGAGAGCCTGATGGGAGGAGGGGGGCTGGCTCCTAGTTTACTCATTGAGGGAGGCTGCCCCTCCCTTGACGTTATCCAGGCTGAACGATTAGAAACTGCTTCACACCTGCCATAGATGAAGAGTTTTTGGAGAGGAAGGACAGCCTTCTATGGTGTAGGACAGGCCACGGCCTTGGGAAACCTGCAATCTGTTCCTGGCTCTGCCACTGACTGACTGGGCGGCCTTGAGCCAGTCACTTTGCCAATGTGTGCCTCAGTTTCCCCCTGTGCAGTGGGTGCTAATATTACCCTCTTTGGAGCTGAGCTCATTCCCATTGGTGAAGGGCTTTGAGTGGAAGTTGCTCTAGAAGAATTATTGGCAACTTCCCCTTTCCCATTACCTCCTGGTAGAGCTGGAGTGCTGGTAGCTGCTTGGCTCATAGTCCCTTTGCTCCGTGGGGTGTTTGAACACAGCTTGGAGCCATGTATAGTGAGAGCATCTCTGAGTTCCACCACTGGTCCATTGCCAGCAGCTACACTCCATGGTGTCTAGCGCCTCGCCGATTCTAGGCACATTACCGTGCCAAAACTCCTTTTTCCCTGGCTGGTTCTGTGGTGTGGGTGTGTCTCTTGGGGTGGCTTGTGTCTCTTGGGGCATTAGAAGGGAACCCTCCTTGGCGGATGTGCTGCTCAGGGTACCTCTCAGGGCCGTCACTCGGTTACCAGAGCCGATCATGCAGTGACAGCATGTGCTAGGCCCAGGAGTAACTCGCACGGAAACACTTGCGGCCGCCCCTTCCCTGCTCCGTTACCTGAGCTCACTAGATTAACGGACGCTTCGGTGCGTCTACACTAGCTGCAAACACGCCTCCCATGCTAGTGTTGACCTACTGTGACGTAGTGGGGGGTACCTTGCTGGTTGCTATGCTGGGCAGTGGGTTGTGAGTGACCTCCACTGGCTGCTGGCTGCAGCACGGCCCAGCAGGGCAGGGGATGAGTCATTATGCAAAGGGGGTGTCGAACCTGTCTGACCAGTTATCTCCCAGGGAGCGGAACAATGGGAAGGAGGGGAGTGGAGCCCTGGCTGGGGCCAGGGCTGGAAGAGTGAGTTAGGTTTCTGGCTGGTTTCATGGAGGAAGCAGCCTAGGGAAAGGGGCTGGGATTTAGGGGCCCAGTCTCCCCTATCTCAAGGGGGGCTGAGGCATCCTAGGCCTGCCCTGGAACCAGATGACATCTGTGCTGTGCTGTATCCCGGAGAAGCAATAAACTCCCTCTGTTCTACTGGCTGGGGGAGTCTGTTCGTGCCACTACGGGGGTGCAGGAGACGGGAAAACCCCAACCCCCTGCCACACCTACCCTTAGAGCCGGGGCAGGCAAGGTCCGGCCCAGGTGCTGGATTCAGCCTGCCAAGCTTTTCAATCCGGCCAGCATGGAACAGCCCAGGGCTCAGAGCGGCTGCCTGCTCCATCTGCCTTTCTGCGCCAGGGGTGGAGGGGAAGCGGCAAAGCTCCTCCTTCACCCACTCTCCAGCCCCACACCCTCTCCTGCACCCCAATCCCTGACCCCGAGCTCCCTTCTGCACCCAGCCTCTGTCCCAGACCAGAGAAAAGTGCCGCCCTTGGTCATTTACAACATTTTAGAGTGTCCCCCACCATCAAAAATGATTGCCCGCCCCTGCCTCAGTTTCCCTTCCAGGAGGCAGGAGGGCTCTGCGGGGGGAACCTACTGACCCTCCGTCGCTCTCGCGCAGGGATGCTGCCATCAGAGGAAGGGGGCTCCGAGACAGAGAGCCTGTATGAAATCGAGGGCATGAACAAATGGATCCTCTTCTTGTGAGTACGCTCCCGGGCTGCCCCGGCCTCTGCCTCCCTCCCGCCTGACACAGGAGCCGCTGCAGCCGCGAGCCCCCCCCCGGCAGAGCTGGCGTTGTTATGCTGGGGGTGGACACGCCGCGTTCAGTGCAGGTGGATTTTGCTGTGTCTGGCTCTTGAAAAAGCCTGCCCAGGTGGTCCTGCCCCTTCTTTTGGGGGCCGCTGGGTCAAGCGCCTGGGCACTGTCCTCCCGCGCAGCTCGCCCCGGCTCCGGGGGTGCGTCAGCAGTGTCAGGAAATCCAGGGTCATGCCGAGCTGTGACCGGGTGATGCCAGCATCTTTAAAGAGCAGCGTCCTCTCCAGAGGACCAGCTGCTGAGCGAAGAGAAGGCGTCTCTTGGACACTGCGCTAGGCAAGCAGCCAGGACACCTGGGTTCTGTTCCTGGGCGAGTGCCTTTAGTTCTCCCATCTGAAAAATGGGGATAAATGACGCACACTTCCCAAGGGCTTTGAGACCCCTTGTTCAGCAATGCCCCAGGGTCTCCTCTGTTTAAAGGACTGGGACGCTGCAGCTTAGCAAAGAGGAGACTGGGGGGGCGGGGGAGATGATAGAGGTCTATAAAAACAGATTGGTGTGGAGAAAGCGAATAAGGAAAAGTTATTCACTTGTTCCCATCACACAAGAACGAGGGGTCACCAAAGGAAATGAATAGGCAGCAGGTTTAAAACAAACCAAAGGAAGTTTTTCTTCACACAGCATACAGCCAACCTGTGGAACTCCTCGCCAGAGGAGGTTGTGAAGCCCAGAATTTCATCAGGGTTCAAAAAGAGCACGATCAATTAATGGAGCTTAGGTCCATCAATGGCTGTTAGCCAGGGTGGGTAGGAATAGTCTCCCAGACTCTGTTTGTCAGAGGCTGGGAATGGGAGACCGGAGAGGGATCACCCTGTTGTGTTCCCTCCCTCTGGGGGAGGCATTGCCCACTATTAGCAGATAGGACGCTGGGCTGGATGGATCTTTCGTCCGACGCAGTCGGGCCGTTCTGATGTTTTTATGTTACTCTGGTTCATCCCCGTTTGGCTTCGTGGCGACTGAGTGGGGCCTTTGATTGGGAGGAAGGAAAGGTGCTAGAGATCCCCCGTCTGCAGACCCCTCTTTCCTGGGCCCCTACGAGCTGGCAGGCAGGACTCTTTGCAATGATTCTGCCCTCTGGGGCTGGGTGGCGGGAGCCCCGGAGTCACCCCGCTCGGCCTTTCTCTCCAGCCGGCATTGGAGGCGATGGAACCGCCTGTACCGCAGGAAGTGCCGCGAGGTGGGGAAGTCCAAGTTT